TGCATCTGCGTCTGCTGCTGCATCTTGGCCTGGGCATCCAGGATGGCTTGCAGGCTTTTTGCATCCATTATCGGTGTGACTCTGTCAGCAGTTCGACCGGGCACGGCGCCGGGGCTGACTTGTCACACGTCAACACGGTCAGTAGTTTGACCGGATACGCTGCCGGGGCTGGGCGTTAACGCTCTCAGCAATCGACCGGGCAGGGAATCTGGAGCTGAAGATAGGACTAGACCAGCAGTTCGTCCGGGCTCAGCGCTTAGAGCCGGGGCTGGAGTCCTGTAGAAGTTTCTTCTTCGTTGCACTGGTCGTCCTCGGCTTCTTCGCGTCGAAGTCCGCTGATCGCCAGTTGTTGTAGACGGTGGAGTAGACTGCCGAAGAGCACCAGTAGACGAGAAGATTTATTGAAGCAATGAACTTCGACATCACACAAAAACATCTCAGTCTTATTATTACATTGCTACGTACAATGCGCGGGTTTGCAAACCAGTCACAACACGTCTGATAAGCATAGATCGATAACACCCTACAACAATCAATGCCTCAATTCAAGGAAGTGTTAATCGATCCCGTCATTCTATCGCTTCAAGCCTTCTGAACAGAACAGCTCGATTTTCAGACCCGCTAGAGCTCTCGATCAGCACTTCCTCTTTTATATGATTTAGCAGCTAGCTAGACATAGGCTTATTCTTCCTTTACTCTTTCTTTCCTAATCCATCTTTCGCCAGCGTTCAGTGGGTGCTAGTCTACCTAATAATAAGTATAGACATATTCTCATGTGTACTGCACAAATTCGTACATGAGTCAGATACGTGGCGCATCTCGAAAAAGATGATTGATCATGAATTTCTGCCGCTTCACATGCTGTGAGTCGCAGTTGCGGGCTGTCTGCCCATTCGAAAGCTTCGGCTCCCTCTGAAAAGTGTCCTTACAATAAGGCGGTCTCATCGTTGGTCACTATTTTTCCTCCACTTTTTCTCCCTCCTCCTCCTACAGCGCTAGCGCTCCCAGCCTTTTGTAGGTAAATTTCTGATGGGATGTGTCTTGAAAGTGGCTCTTGGCCATTTATTATAGCTGTTCCATTTCTGCTTACAAATTGAGAATATGACGTGCAGACAATTTTCTTAGGGGGAGTCCTTGTTATGTTCGACATGCCAGAATTGCTCCTGTCCTTCTGAGCTAATTTGCGCGTGACGGGTTCGGGTTATTCGGGTTATAATTTTGAAGTCTACCTAGCCAGCTTTTTGCTAATCCGATTTTTGCTCTGAATTTTGGCTTCTTTCGGGGAACGCTAACTTAAAGGCACGGTGCTTGATCACTCAACCGTGCAAAACCATGTTATAACGGGAGGTGAACTGGTCCAAAAGTCTGTGGGCTTGCTCTAATTTACCTGCAAAAACTTCTAAGACGAAACCGCTGTGGGTGTAACTAACGTAGCCGCAATCCTACTCGCGACTCCGCCTTGGGAATCGACATCAAAGGCGGAGACCTGCAACCTTCCTGCCCCGACGGACTCCCTCACCCCCCCCCCCCTACCTCTGATCCTTCTTACGCACCTCACTATTTCTACGCCATAGAGTCATCCAATGCTTGCGCGCTTAATTGTACAGCTAATGTTTCACTTTGTAGTCCTTCAAAGGGTTATTTCCTTTTGCTGATCACGGGTTATTTGGCGCTTTTTACTATTGCCCTTACAAACATATTTTGACGTGTGGGTGTCCCCCAAGAGGGCCCGTCGCGCGGCGAAGGAAGAGACGCAGATGCGGCAAAGGACGAGTCGCAGCGCGTGCTGTGCGATATGAGACGTAGTATGGTACACTCTATTTAACCTGACGCCTAACCGCTACAGTATGCGCTGCGACTCGTCCTTTGCCGCGTCTGCGTCTCTTCCTTCGCCGCGCGACGGGCCTCTTGGGGGACACCCAAAACTTTGCCAGACAATTTTCCAATTGAACGTGAAGGGACCAGCATAAGGAACTAGTTATGCTCGATATGGGAGAATAGCTCCTGCCCCCCTGAGCTTACTGGCGCCTGACTCAGGTTATAATTCCAAAGGCTACCTACACAGCTTTTTTTAACCGGTTTCCAGTTCTGAGTTTTACCTAATTCAGAGAACGTAACTTAAAGGCACGGTCCTCGATTACTCAAGCATGTGTAACCATTTTATGGCCCCTGGTCTGACAGTCTTGTCTGTTGGTCTAGTCTCTCAGCAGAAGCTTCTGACGTAGGACCGCTGCAGCGTAAGTGTAACTCAGTGTAACTGCAATCCTACTCCGATCGTCCTTGCATTCGACATCAGAAGCGGGGTCTCTGCATCTTGTTGGTTCCAATGCTCTTCTAAGTTCGTTTGACGCTGTGCTCCCTCGTCCTAAGCCACTGGGTGTCTCGCAACTCATTACACATTCGTACATTGAGTTTACAGAGAGAATGGCACATTATCGGAGCGCCTCTTCAACCGTTCCCTTTTTCTACATAGGGTCACTTAGTTATAGCTTTCATTTTTCTTGAGATTCCAAAATACAGATTCTGCAATCCGTGAAGTAATGTTTGCTTAAAGGTGGACGCGTCGTTAATTTTTCCAGAGTACCAATACCTTAGATGAACAATTTCTAGACGCCAGATCATCAAGGTAGAGGGCCTGGCGTTGATGAAGCTTATAATAGGCGAATTCAGTATTTGACCGAGATTGGCCATCAGTCCAGGAGCTAGCATCCACATTTGGTTTTGTAAGCGATTCTTGCAACTAGTCGCTGTAAAGTTGCTTTTCTCCAGGAAGAGAGATACAGAAAAGGTCGCACGATCAAATTTTGATGAAAAAGGTGGAATTGTGTGTGAGGTGAAAGCTAGTTAGTTCGGTCTCAGGACATCTGTCAACCGTGAGCCTTGGCGGTTCAGCGTTTTGTAGTGATGTCTGGGAGCTCTCACAAGTGCACACTATCACAGCATCTCCTCTTTCTTTATCTTCTTCAAAAGGCTTAGTCCCAATAAGACACAAAGTGTGTGCTTTTCCAGCTACGCTCTCACCCTTTGGTTGACAGAAGCCTTGTACGCTTAGTTCACCACTGTCGTCATTACAGGCCTACATCAGATGGAATAGGGTGAGGTTAAACACCTTGGTTAGCTCACACGACATTTCGGTCGTATCGCTAGGCCGATGACGGTTGTGGTCCTTGAGCGTTTGACGCGTTCGATTTGACGCTATATATAGCTCCTGCATCAAGTTGCCACGCATTCCTCTTCTTACACGACCTCAGAAAATCTACGATCTGGGCTTCAGTTGATCATCGGGCATCTTGGCTGCAGATTCCATCCTTTTCCAAAAAGAACGTGCCATGCCGTGAATTTCATAATTTCCACTACTATGTATTCGTTATTTCTATAGGCTTCTCTATGCTTTTGAAAAGAATCACTTGTATGTGTTGTTTTCTTTCACGTTGCTATGATACAAATCGGATTTTCATCATAAATTTGTGCTTCTCTTTTTTTTTCTTTTTTTTTTTTTTTTTTTTTTTTTTTTTTTTTTTTTTTTTTTTTTTTTTTTTTTTTTTTTTTTTTTTTTTTTTTTTTTTTTTTTTTTTTTTTTTTTTTTTTTTTTTCTTCGGGTGCGGGCACACCGATGGATTGGGCTATCGTTCAGCGCTGGGCATGGTCGTAGCCGGTGCTCCCGCACCGTGGCCCGGTCGGGCGGCGTGGTGGGAGCCGTCGGGGGGTACGCACCAGGCCGGGCCGCGGCGTGCGGGGTTGCCTGGGGGGGTCGTGGGGCGGCCGTGACTCGTCGAACGCGAGTCACCGGACCGTCTTCGGGGTCTCAATTGATCTGTTTTTCTTTCTTTCTTTGCGAAACTTCTATCATTCATGGGCTATTCAAGAGATGTATCATCCCCATATGCGCTTCGAATATGATGTCAAATGTTGCCATCCAAAATGTGCCAAAAGTGGTTCTCTGGGAACAGTAAGTTATGAAGCCGTAAGCGGTAGCGGGGGGACGGTGTGGGGTCATTAAGGAGGGCAAAACTCTCAGCTGGAGCGTAAGCAAACCAGCCCTTTTGGCGTTTCTGCTGGGGCCGTATGCTGAATGTTGGGGAGGGGATGGGGTCCCCAACGGTCGACGGTTTACTTCAACTCGGTTCGGTACGATAGGAGAGTACTGACGCAAGTGGTGCAGCTGGTCCAGCAGCTCCGCCAGAAGGGCTGGTTTGCTTACCCCAGGACTAAGTACCCCAGGACCAGGGTCAGTCCTATCGTTGCTACTTTTCGAAAAGTTTCCTACGACCCCCCCCCTTTCCCACAAACTTTTACCCCAAAAAATTAGCGGGGGGGACATGCCACTTCTTACAACCTAAGCAAGTACGACCCCCCTACAAACTCACCAAAATACGACCCCCCCGTTGCTACTTGTAGCAACATAGGGTTGACCCTGCCCAGGACTAAGCCTTGGATAGAGGGCGGACCTGCGCGATCAGGTCCGTCCCTTCGTTAAGGCTTAGTCCTGAGGTAAGCATCAAATTGAGGCGGTTTAAGGACCGAGTTGAAGTGGTCCGTCGACCGTCGGGGACCCCATCCCCTCCCCAACATTCAGCATACGGCCCCAGCAGAAACGCCAAAAGGGCTGGTTTGCTTCATCCTCGTGTAATTGCTTCCCTTTACGAGCTCACTCTTACCTTTGCTTTTGTGCGCAGTATTGCTGAAATAACTTTGAAGCAACACGCCCAGCAAAATTCGTAGGTTCTACCAAATTGGAAGCATGGTGAGGCTATACTTCAACGCATGCATCTGTGTCGCGCTCAAGCTACATAGACTATGAAAACGTTAACTTTTTGAAGACAGTGGGAGCAATAGCATAGGGTGGCATCGAAGAGTGCTGGGGGTGGAGCTCGGACCAATAACGTCCAGTGACGTCATAAAAATCGTTCGCTCACCATCATGTCCTCTGTCTTTAAGTAGGATGTTAATGAGTAATAATTTTACTTAAAAAAACACAATTCGAATAACTTTTAATCATCTCATGTGCAGTCCGGTCCAACAGGAACACAACGGCGGTCCTTGTTATATTTGTAGCCCGGCTTGCATGTGCAGCCCCCAGTAACACACTTGAGCATTATTTGACCATGGAAATTGCAATTATTTTCTTCCATTGGCATACAACCATGCACCCATCTGATTTCGTTTTCGCGCTCACATGGCGCTTCTGAAATAGTTTCAGTCGTCTCCAGAATAGTTGAAAAGTAATTCGGAGAACCTCTAGAATTTTACAACCCTGTCGTCAAAAGTGAACGGGAACGGCACAACGCATTTGTGTGCACAGGTGGTGATAAGTGGGAAGTCGAGGGTAGGGATCTAACTCGCTTTGTGGTACTGTTCCTCTACGAGTGTGCTTCTTTGTAGTTGCCAATTTCCATATAAACTAGCGCCGTCCAAGCATATACTACATAAAGTAAGCTTCAGCATTGGCACCTTAAAAGAAATCCCATTTCTAATTCCGGCGGTCCAAGAAGGGGGGAGGGGAGATACTTAGTTAAGACAGAGCCACCCCCCCCCCCCTGCGCTTCTCGCAGCGAAGAGTATTCCACTGGAGTAGCAAAACCATTCCCGCACGCTCGCCCCCCTCCCCCCCCCTCCCTTCGTTTCTCCGTCTATAGCCTCTTGCGAGAGAGCATTACCGTTGAAGAGAGCAGCACCGATAAGAGTGGCATTAATGCGGAAATCAACGGGCAAAGTAGAGGTCTCATTTCTAGGGTTATAAGCCATTTCTCAAATTTTTTATTCGTCCCAAGCATCACTCTCCACCTCTGCCTTCATAGAGGGATACCTTTCCATCGTGGACTCCGTTTACCTATAAAGGGCAGAAATGTGAACTCTGGCAACGAGTAGGCAGATTACGAGGATGTCGCAAGGACGCGCAAAGCTTATCACTAGGCATGGAAGCTGTTGTTTTTACGTTTGAGAATGCTTCATTGATTCTATGGCTACCTACCTCCATCTACGTATGCCACGCTGATAATGGCGATGAGGATGAACACCTTGAAAAGCATTGCTCTGAAAGTACGATGTCGTCTAAAGAATCCTGTGAAGATTTGACGTACATAAACGAAGGGGGAAGTGCAATAATTGCCCTGCAGTAGTAATCCGCGGCAATTTTCTGATTTTCGCACTCACTTTATCTATCGCCGCCTTAAAGGAGGAATTCACGATTAGAATGAAGGTCGAAGAAAGGGAAACTGACCTAGTTGAGGGACCCACGGACCTCCTGAGGGTGCGAACTGACGCGCAATTCGCATGGAAAAATTTGACCTCGGCGACCTATCATGCCTCAAAGCTGGCGGGTCCGGTTCGCCACCGTTCTGCGATGCACTCGCCGCATAGTTCAATACGTGGCGAGTGATTAGATAGCTGAGAGAGCGTAGTGTTGAAGAGGGCACAGCGATGAGAGTCGCATCAATGCTCGAATCAACGGGCAAGGAAGGGGTACCATTTCTCGGGTTCTGGGCCGTTTCTCATGGTTCTTCCTTCTTTCGTGTACCACTCACCATCCCTAGGTTAATTTGAAATGGGTTGCTTTTTCATCGTTGAATTCGTCCTTTAAATTGGTTCGTTCATGATCGGCAAAGCGCAGCACCACAGCCGGGATCCATTAAAGCAAAAGTCCCAGCAGGGTTTCAACCATTCGATCCTAAGGGTGGAAACATGCTAGCCCAAGTCAAGTACATAGGAAATGTCACTGATTTGAAAACTTACCTTTGAAAGGCGTTGGAAGGGGGTCTAACGCCTTCGAAGTGGGCGGATCCACCGAGCCTCGGTACGGCCGCCCACTTCTGTCGTGAAGAGTGCGTGATTGGCTGCGCAGACATTTGCGGTCGTTTCGGGACCACCGGGACTATTTGAGGTCGATCCTTTAAAGCAATCGATGTGGTGATGCCGACGCTGGATTTCTACACATTTTTTCCTTCTACCTTCTACCTTCAAAACATGAAACGATTTCATTATTGCGCCCAATTGCAATTGCTGGCAAGTAGCCAGCTATTGCTGGCTATTGGGGCGCATTTACTGCGGGCATGTTCAGACAACTCGTCCAACACGCGTCTTCCTCCATTGCTAAGCGGCAGGGGGAGTCCCTGTCTAAGTCCCTGTTCGACGTTTTTTTTTGTTTTTCTTTCATTATCGGTCACTTTTCATCTACAACTTCATTATCGGTGGTTTTAGCCCGCGAATTCGGTCTGGGATTGTTGTTTTAACCTTGGTCTATGCCTGCTCAGCTACGATTTCGAATGCTTCTTAGGGGCAAGCAGTTCCCACTCTAAGACGGTGCATGTGCCCGCTGTGCCGACTTCAGTTCCACCCCCCCCCACCTAAAGAGGCCCCGACACGTCCTCATCGGCTTCGAAGGGAATATTCCCTCATTCGACCTTCATCTGACCCCACCTCAACTACACCATCCACACAACTATGGCTGTTTCTACAATATTTGATGCTGAGAGCAGTCGACACACTCCGACTCCGCCCAGTTTCTTCCCTCTTTTTTTCTTCAAACAATCCTCCTGAGGGTGGCGAAAGGGGTAAACGCGACCCGAGGTAGCTCGCGTCGAAGGGGGACATTCAGGGGACTGAGTCACTCACAGAACTCGGGGTAGGCCTCAGAAAGAGGGAGAGATTCTGGGGGAGGTGCGAGCAATTTTTGTTCATATTGTGGATTTTCCACTCAGCGCTCATGTCCCTGGTGGTGAGGCGGGGGACATTCAAAACAGAGCTGATGTAGGTGGGACAAGGACAAAGCCCAGCAAATATGCCAGGGAGAACAAAAACTGCTTATATGCTCCCCCACGATCCCTTCCGCTCTCCAGGGCTCGGTTCCGAGCACAGTAATTGGCTCACTCACTCACATGGATGTTCCTCCCAAATATATGAGCGCTACCCCTCTTTGGCTTAGTCACCCACCAGTTTCCAAATGTCTTGTTTTGAATTCCCCCCCCCCTCCTCGACCATGAGCCTTCTTGGAGTTCATTTCTATCCTTCTAATGGTAACCTCAGTCCGCATAGCGATGCCTCAACCCGTAACCACACTAACTCATAAAGTAGCCCGTTTGGAAAAATTCACTGGGTTCCACTTGTTTTGACTTGTACTGATTTTGTTCGCCACACATCACCACATTTCGCTATGGTAGCGTTATCATTGTTATCAGGAGCGGATAGCAGAAGGCAACAAAACAACAAGTGGTGTTAGGTAGGAAGAGGGGCCTATCGCAAGATACATGTGGTGGTAATGCATTTAAAATCGCGTAATGGAGTGTTCAGAGTTGGCGATCGTACGTGCGATTAGGCGATTAGGCGATTAGGCGATTAGTCTATAATGAAAAATATACGTATAGATTAGGCGATTAGGCGAGTAGGCGAGTAGGCGATTAGGCGAGTAGGCGATCAGGCGATCGTCAATGGGCTGATCAACAAATCAGTACTTATCCTTCTTTATCGACTACTCGCCTGATCGCCTTATCAATACGTATCTTTTCTTTTTGAGTCATCGCCTAATCGCCTAATCGCACGTACGATCGCCAACTATGAACGCTCTATAACACATCTCCTTCTTGTTGAAATCGGGTGAGACTTCTGAGTGCATGAGCATATTCTTTTTCCCGGAGTTTCTGCTTTCTCCGGAGTTCTGAAGAACGCCCCCCTAATCTTATAATGGCCCCAGTGAAGGGG